AGATTAGAGAGTTTTGACAGTTGCTGAAAATAGCGTGGTATTATTGTCAGTAGTTAATAAACAAAAATAATACCACCATATTGGGGGACAGTAGGAAATACGAGCACAGGAACATTTGAGTGATCCCTATCTCAGCTGTTTAAGAATGGGAGAAAGTGACATGTTTTTGTAATATTTTTCTACTGCGTCTGATGCATTCTTTAGTGCTAGAAGAGTTACACACCAACAACTGCATTTAGACCACTCTGACACAGCACAGACCTGGAGGAAACCATCCTTTGTGCCACGGTTTCTTTGCTCCGGGGATACGGGGCTGCTCAAAAATCAGTGGCAAAGCCAGAAACAGAACTGGGGACCAGAAGAGCCCGAGTCTGCACATTTTGCAACTTACAGTCCTCTGCTTTCCTATAATTTCTTTGTGAACACATCTTCTCTGGCAGCTGGAACTATTCCCTGGAAAAGGTACCCCCAACTCGGAATGCCCATCCGCCCGACACTCCTCCTTTTATACAGAGATCGCTCCCCTTTGTCAAAACCAAACAAGTTGGCCAAAGTGATCACTGCAGAATGATGACCAAAGCAAACCTGGCCACAGGGGAAGGAGGGCAAGTCTCTGGCAGGAGCCAGAGGCAGTTCCTGGATGGCACAGCGGCTGCGCAGGGTCGGTGCCTGCGCTCCGAGGGGAGCACGGTTACAACAGCCCCCCTTCTCTTTTTAATCTGCTCCTACCCCTCCAGTCTTTCTGTTTTCATTCAGTACCACTTCATTTCCTACCACACTTTAAAAAAAATGGCAGAATAAATGACTGTAACTATAATCTCACATTTTTGGGGTGATCTATTTTAACAATAATTATTAAATATCTGCCAGACTACCTCCTTCCATTTTTTCCACCTATTCTGTGCCCCTGAACTCATTACACAAAGATTTACTTCCCTTTCCCTGCAATAGCTCTGCTTTCTGTGGCTTCTACCGATTCCCTTTCTTCTGGATCCTCTTTCTATTAAACCTGGCTGTTTTGATGAAATACAGAAAAGATATGAAGTTACAAGCAGCCCATTCCCTTGCTTAAACACGAAGCTCTTATCAGACGGCTACAACATAGCCTCGCTGTACATCAAGTAATTCTATTGCAGACAAAAAGCTTCTGCTTTTCAAACAACAGAAGTCAAATAGCAGAATAAAATATATAATATCCCCCTAATCACCCTAGGAATTCAACCAACACAGTAGAGATATACCCAGAATTTAATATTGTAGACACTTTTTTCCCCAGATCATGATGGTTTCCATACCCACTGACTCAGAGTATTTCTTTACCATTGTTTAACACCAGAAGGCATGAATGCATTTGCAAAATCCCACTGTAAGGTTTTAAAACCATGTGGCTACTCGATTGAAACTCTATTGAAAGAAAAATTGGCTGCAATGGAAGATCTAAGCTCAAAACACTCTATTAGATGTGCTGTTCTTCCACTTATGTTTTTTAAAGTAGATCTATAGCTGCCCACATGACAGATTAATATTGTTCCACAGTAGTTAGGTGCTTGGCATTACATTTTTGAAGCATCTACAGGCCTTCAGGGCTGAAAGTGTTCACATCTTCAGCAATCTATAATGGTTCCTCTAGAGGCCAGCACTTGCTTCATAATGAAACATGCCTCCATAAATCAGGCTGCAGAAGTGGCACTTGTGTACGTCACCATCTATCTGCACAGCTTCTCTGAAGGATGTTGGGTAAAGATCATCTCCCGGCACCGCAACCAGGGAAAGGACCATCACAGCTGGCATTGATAAAGCATGTGCTACTTAAATCTGAAGACACACTAAGTCTATGGAAAAAAACACATCCTGCTGGTGTTAGCACGCCTCAGGCAGTGGGAGAAGCTTCAGCAACTCATCTTCAAAAGGCAGAGAGCCAGGGCTCTAGAAACCTGCAAAAATTGGCTAAGCCTGCAGTCTTCTTTTTTTATTTTTTTTTATTTTTTATTTTTTTTAAGTTGAGCATCTTCAAAGTCTACGATTCTAACTGTAGGGCACAGCAGCTGCCACTGCAGATTTGATCCTCTCAGCTTTTGGCAGCTCTCAACTTGAAATTCTAGCAAAAGAATTTTTCAAGTTGCTATTATTGCCTGTCACGGATTTATAAATATTGTGCACTATCTGCTGTGGCATGGCTCTCCTGGGACACCAGTGCATGCCAAAAGCATAACAGAATGAAAAACAGTTCCTATTCTTCAAATAAATGCTAATTTTTTTAACTGTGCTCACACGATGCGTTTGGTGATCAGCTTCAATAGTACAGAATATATATCAGAGGCAAAAAAGCTGATTGTCTTTTCCAGTAGTATTCAGCTGCTACTTTCATTAAGCTTGTTTAATTACATTCCAGATGCTAATTTGCAAGTCGATACCAGAGGGTGCAGGACAGTTTGCCTTTGAATCATTTTTCTGTGATGTGATGGTCTTGAAGCACACCACTACCCTCCAATAGCCCTAGCAAGATATTCTGACAATTAGTGCAAAAGAAAGCAGTATTGATCCTGACAGAAAAATATTAATCCCCTACCCATTTTATTAAATTAATCTCCGGGAATTTCAAGTTTATCATCATTGCCATTTCATAGCAAATTTTATGTAAAATATACTAGTGTACTTCAGATGTAATTTGTTTTAATTTCACTAGAAATATAATTTATTATTTTGTTACTTTACTGGGGAAAAAACACCCCATATCTGACTCAAAAGGTAAATACCTTACGCGGGCAGCCATAGCAGGACGTGAAGAAGTGTTTAAGACTGCAGTTGAGCTTTGTCACCTAAAACTTTGCTGGTTTAATGAATACAGTTACTAAATTGTGATTAGATAACAGAGTATCTAGTAAAAACAAAGGAAGGTTAAGGTGCACGCAGGTCTCAAGGATCTAAATATCCATTTCAACAAGTTGGTAGGCTGCGTTTTTACACGCTTGTTATAACAGTGAATATCTGCTGCCATTTATGGTTGTGTATGAAGACAATTTAATGAGGATGACCTTTCTAAATAGGAAAAGTTGGAGATTTACCAATTTCTGGTGCCTTTTTTGGTTGCTCTTACACAAAGAACGACTTAAAATACAAGCATAAAAACTAGCTGCGAATAAGATGAAATTTTTAGTTTCCCAGCACAGCGCTCTGACATTTGTATCTCTGAGAGAGGACTATTACCCTGTAGCTGTTGATTCCAGGGATTTGCAGTCCATGTTTTCAGCAGGAATCGCACACGTGCCAAGTGCACGGTCACGCAAGAGGCTGGAGAGAGAGACTGCCATCCTTCCAGCAGCAGGAGGGGAGAAGAACCACCTCTATCTCATGGTTCCTTCTCCCAGTCATCTAGAGTAACGCTGCTTGTGGAAGAAACTTGAGTGCCCATTAAAAATATTCCAGTATTTCTGATGACATTTATAAATAGCCTAGAGGACAGAAGTCCAGTGTCTTCAGGCATCGCACAAAACATTGCAGCAACACAGGAATCCTACTTTTACTGCATTTGCATCATTTTGCACAGCTACTACTACTTCATATGTACTGACAGAAAAGGAGCCAGTTCCAGGAGTAACTAGAAGACTCTGTTACTAACTCTTAAGCAGTTTAACTACTGGAAAATTCTCAAAACCTGTTGTTCGGGTTTTTTTAAATCAACTGATATTGCATGTCACATTTCTTCATGAAATGTAACAGGGTATGACACATCACTTTAAAATTTAAATCTAATTTTGTTTAGGTTTGAGAGAGGAACTCAGTGGACTTACAGAATCATCACCTGAAAATATACTGCAGTCACCCCAACATCTGAAGGGGAGGAAATGACCCACAGTAGCTGCATGTATATATATCCTTTATAAAAGATAAGGAACATCTGAACATCTTTGCTGAAGTAAATCGACTTTATCCTTTTTTATGTTATCCACTGATAGTGAACAGCTGCAAGATTTGTTGTATCTGCATTTTAGGCTGCAATGATTGCAACCGTTAGCGTTACAAGTCATTTTTAACGGGTTCCATTTTCAATTTGGTGTTCAATACTTGGGTTTTTCTTTACTGTGAAATTATTAATCAATTTTGAATGAGAAGCAGCACCCACAGGAAGTCTGAAGAGATTAATGTGGTTTAAAAGAGGGCTTGACATTACTGAGGCATTTTACAAAATCTGGTCACAGAAAGCCTTTTAATTGTTTTGGGTTTGTTTTCATCAATAGTCTTGTCTGCAGATAACTGGGTTTTTCATTGTTTAGTTTAGCAGGCACTGAACATGGTGTAACTAAGGGGAAGGAAATACTACGGCTAATACAAAAATAGTGTACTGCACACAGTCATTAAAAATAACTGAATAACTTATCCTGATCTTCTTAATCATGACACTCCAGCTTTTAGCTCTTCTGAATGAGTCTCCATAATAAACAACCAGTTTCCAATTTTTATCAAGATCACCAACAAAACACAAACAACCCACAACCTCATAAATCTTCTGATAATCAGCTTTTAAGCAGATATTAAAAAATAAAAGTGCAGTTACTAGTTCTGACCCTGACCAATCAACCACAAATCTAATTGGTTTCATACGCTACTTGAACATTTTTTTGTTGCTTTTACAATTGAGCATTCTCTTTTCAAGGTTGAGAGAAGGACCAACTGAGGGAAAACCAGCAACAGTGACTGGGGAATTTACCAGCCCTTGTGTAAAGTCAACTATAACCAGTAAGTTCTGTGTTTTTAAAGCTTTCACCTACGTTCAAATCACACAAGTTTTCCATATATAAACTCGCAAGAAACTATATCTCTTTAAATTTATTTTACCCATCAACTTCTACAGCTTTGCAGTAAGCTGACATTAGTACATTTTAAGTGCAGGGAAACTAGAGAAGACAACTTTTTTAAAGCTTCAAACCTCTGAAATTCTTACAATCACGAGAATTATTGACGGAAGAAACACTGAGCTTGAAAAAAAAAAAATATCTTACCTCCATGTCCTGTTTGTATTTATCTTCGAATACTGCCATAGCTGCTAATGATCCAGAACCTACAGTAACAAAATTAGGACACTTATTTAGCCAAGTCTACCTTAGCTTATTCTACACTCTGGAGCGTCCACCCTCTTTAAGTCCAGCACCTAATTTAATCCTAAATTTACAGCTGGTGTACACACACTTGTCACAGACTCAGTTCTCACTGCCTTTTCCTTACCATTTTGAACACCAAGATATGAAAATGAGGTTAGAAAAAGAGAGTTAACTGGATGCCACAGTTTGTAATTCCTACCCCTCCATTCCTCCTGTCCCACCTTGTGCCTGGGCATATCAGAGGGTATGTCAGTGCATACTGAGACACCCGAATGACTAGATTGCTTTAACGAGCTGCCCTGGCACAGTCACCTTAACGCACGGGGATGGGTGACCCAGCAATGGGAACAGGGTAACTGGCTGCTGCCATCAGGGCATCTCCCACACCTACTTTAAGACAGTTTTTTTTATGTACTTTGTGCCGTTATTTTTACATTGAACAATAACAGCTGAATAGACAAAATGACAGATAAGAAAACATGAGTTTTAACGTTACTTCTCTTAGAGGATGCAGTGTAAGTGCAGTGATGGAACAGAAGCTGTCTCTACCCAAAGCGCTGTAACTGCAGGTGTTATAAATGTGCTTTCCGTAAATTAATACGAAAAGCAGTATGATACTATTTAAAACTGTAAACTTGCTTTGTTCAGAAAGAGTGAATCTTCAGGAAGATGCCTGTCTGTGGCCCTAATCATATTTCAGATCGTGCTACTTTTGGGGAGTGAATAAAGTTACCTGCAATTTTTTACTCCAATTAGAAGATTTTTTGGCATTTATTACTTTTTAACTTGTTTTGCATACTGCTATCTGTTTAGCTGGGTCACAGAGAAAGCCATATTTTCTATTTAAAATGATTTGTGTATATCGCTTGACCACCTCAATGGTTTAGTGAAAGAAAAAGGCAGCGATTAAACAGTTTCAAATGAGGTGTCCTGCTGATTTTATCAAGTCTGCTGAATGTATAATGAAAAAAGAGAAGCTGACAGTGACACTGTTGAGAAAATACAGACTACCTTATCTGAACCATTTAAGGAGGTCCAATTATAGATCAAATTTAAAGGGTAGAAACAGCAGATTTACAGACACAAATCAATGAACATGGTAATCCCAATGAATATGACAGATATTCCTGTTAGAGAATATTGCTATGGTTGAGGATCATTACCCTTACAGTACCAAATACATCACATCTAAAAGCAGTAGGACACTCTAAGTGTGTACTTGTATTACAGGCAATGACTATTCATTTACACCTTGGAGCAATACAGGACTCCATTTTTTAAATGCTGAAACTGGGAATAAAGATAATTTTTAAGCAACTAATAGCAGAAATGAACTGCTGATATCACAGAAGAAATCACAAATAAAAGGAATTTTACTGATCCTTCGAACAAGGTCAAAATAAGGTGTGTTCCAAAACAAATACAGGACTTGAACCATAAAATAATTCTTCTTGTGGAATGACATAGGAACATTTCTAATGAGAGGGGAAAAAAAATAAATATGAGATATGGTCTCAAACGAAGACCACATTCTTACCATACTCAAATAAAGGCTTACCATAAGCAGAACAGGAAGCCGCAAAACTAGAAAACAATCCTAACCTTGGAGAAGGGCTCTTCGAAAAAAAATATCTTTGAAAAAAATTAGAGTATAAAGACTAAAAAATGTGCAAGAATGAAAGTATGCAAAGCAATATCTGACAAATTACTGCATTAAAGCTACTAGTTAACAAACAGTAGTCTTAATTTTTTAAAACTTGTACTGACAAATAAAAGTTATCAATGACACAAATATTGCAACAAGCTCATACGTGGCTTAGACTGGATTCATTCCTCCAGCTCCTTTCTAAGGAAGCTCCCAAGAGAAGCTACGGGCAAGAACTCAGCAGACTCAGAAAGAAGAAAAAGGAAAAAGGGAGGGAACCTTACATTACATGAAATCCTTTATGCATAAAGAATTGTACTGTTAATTATTTATCTCACTATATTACCAAGGTGAAAATAAATGTGAAATTTAGTATCAACTTCAAATAAATAAATAAATGCAGACAGTCCTATAATATATGTTTTCAGAGAGTTGTTGTAGGTTTAAATAAATTAAGATTTACATGTAGACATTTACATCTAAAAACCACAATCCAAGGAGGTTGTAACAGAACAGGAAGTAAAGCTGGAAAAGCTTAATAAACTCAGAGGTTTTTTTTTTTCCTCTACTGCTTATAAATCCTAAAGGTAAGTTTTATAAGCCTAGCATTCTCTGAAAGAACAGATTCTTGAACCTTAAATAGCACAATGAAAATTCTTTACTCTTAATAGCACCAGATGTAAACACGGTGTTTTTAGAAACATAAATAGATGTCTATTTCTGAGTTCCTGCATCAAAACAAATCATCTGCTATTTGACAACAGTAATATGAACTATTTTGAAATAAACTAATGAAGTACCTATATTCACCTGTAGCACACTGACTAAGAAAACCCACCAATCCCCTGTTGGCACTGCCAGGGGACTGACAGCCGTCACTTGGCCATGCAGAAATGCAGGAAACCAGGAGTGGGCAGTTGCTCCTCAGCCCAGTTGGGAACTTCAGGACCCACTCACACCCACTTCCCTCTACCTGCCAAATCCCACAGAGAATCCACAAACCCCACAATGTTCCAAGCAATTCAACTGAGCTGTGAAAGAGATGCATTGTAACAGGAAAGCCAGCAATAAAGCCTGGGAACTTAAGTAAACACTGAAAGTATGGTTTTCTTATTGCAGTACCTATAAAAGCACAGAAAACTTAGATATTAAGGGTCTATGGAGAACTTGCTTGTGTATGGGGAAACAGCTGGTCTCTTATCCCTGGATTCAGTGCCCACCAATAATTCATTTTTAACAAGCACGCTTTGCCTTTATGTAGAAACAAACCTAACAACTCCCAAACATAATGTCTGGAGAAAGATAAAATCCAAACCATTGCAAAACACCATCCATTAATTAGGGATAGATATTCCCACCTCAAACACACAATAACTGGTTTAAGTCACCAGCAGTTAGGACTCAACATCACTAAGATGCAGAAGTTCAACCTCTAATCTATTAAAACATTCAGGAAAGCTGTGATTATTAAGATGTGTCATTAACTAGTGTCTTTAACTGAGCCCAGATTCAAAGTCACACCAAATGAGATACTTAGCTCAGATAACTTTTGTTTGAAACCTTAACAACACACAACCAATGCAGAAAATTTTCTTTGTTAGATTTTGGTTTTTAAACGTTGGAAGTTCATAACTGTTCTGCATGTGGGCAACAATTAAAGTATAACTGGTAAAGTCATCATGTAGTTGTATTCTATGAAAAAAACCTTTTCAGCTAGATTTTTAAAAACCACTAACTGCTATGAATGGTTACACATTGGGAACAATCATTGAGAAAAAAAATGCCATATCAAATCCAAAGGATTTATTTTGCACACATTTTCAGTAAGCTATGCTTTAGAAACAAATATCCAGGAAGTATTAACCTCACATCTAAACATATAAAAATATTGATTGCCAAATAATTATAAAGAAGTACAGAAACTGAGATGCAAACCTGTATTCTGAGGCAAATTCTTTTCAGTCTGATAATTAGCATGAACCAAGGAAGTTATGGGACCACAAGAAATTTATTAAATTTTTTTCTTTAAGAAACATTGGTCGTTTCATAGGTTTTCACAACCAAGTTATTAAAAAATTTCCTGGACTCAACTGTAATAAACTCACTTTAAAAATCCCATTTAGTCTTCACTTGAGCAGTTGTACCACTTCAGTATTGATTTAAAGTGAAAGATAATTATCGATACACAGCAAAAAATCCAGCCAACAATGTTTTCCACCATGTTTTGCAACTGCAGTAGCTTTTCTAAAACAGATAAAGTGGCTCTTTTTAGCAGAACGTTCACTGAAGACAACTTCTTACTGCTAAGCACAGTCTATTTTCATCACCCAAGGACCTGTTTGCTACCTCCGCCTGCCAGGGGAGAGGATGCACAGAGTCTTGAGAGAGCAACGTTTAGCACTTGCCCATCCATCAGTGTCGGGGCTCCCTGACAGGGCCGTTACTCACACGCTCTCATTGTTATTCAATTTGCTGTTCACTCCAGATAAGAATTGGGAGATCTCCCCAGCCCCATCGATTGGGATCATTTTTCAGGCGGGTGGCTGGCGGCGGGGCTGCGCCTGGGCAGAGGGACTGCTGGCTCTGCAGGACGAGCTGATTTATGAATATGAAGCAACACGGGTACCAGGGGACTCGCCGCAGCCACCGGGGACTGCTGGAACGCACTGACTGCTTCTGAAAGCTGAACTACAGACTTCAAGTGCTTTAATTTTATGCATGCATTTCATTATAAGTCTTGGCCAGAAGCTTTCCTAGACAAGCCAAGCAATCAGACAATCTTGCATCGTTTGCTGAAATCCAATTTTGTCCTTTGTCAGCATAAACAGTTTAATTTGATGTTTTCACTCCTGAGTAAGCACTGAGGATCTTTTAAATCTCCCTTACAAGGGAGGATACCACTCTGTCCATCCACAAACACACTCCAGCACATTAAAGCAAACAAAACCCCAGCACCTCAACTACCTTTCCTATTTAATACTGAATTTCCATAAACTAACTGGCCAAAAATATATACCCTGATTTAATGAACTGCCTTTAGAACACGTGGGAAAAAGAAACCAACCAAATACAAAACCAAACAACAAAAACCAAACAATATTTTAGTCTAAACAAGATCAAAATAAAATGCCAACTACTATTTCCGAATTGACCTTTGATTCATTTTCTGCTGTCTTAGTTCAAGCTTTCATTTGTATGCATAAGCAAATCTTCTTACTAAAACACATCCCAGTCACTGGAGGAAGTGTGAGTCTACACGGACCAGGTGTAGAAGGTAAAGGACAGTGATGCTGAGAAGGGCTTTGTCTGACAGCACAGACATGTCACATGTCAGCACCAGCCCCAGACCTGGTACAGCCCACAGCAAATCAAGTTTAAACTACAATGAACTTAATGTGTTGATATTCTACTTCCTACTGGTTCCAACTTACTCTGCTACTGTGTCAATTTTGTGGAGGGAAAGGGGAGTGGCCAGGATTTTCAGAAATGCCACATTTTAAAGCTTTTAAAACACCGGCAGGAAAGTAACCCTGTAGGTAAGGGAAAAAGTGACTTGACTTGGGTAATCAGCTACTAAGAGCTGTCAGCACGGAGCCAGAGTTTTACAGTTAACTACAACATTGGGTATAAAGCAATTATAACAATCAGACATTTACTTTCTTTATATATCAAAGGCTAAACAATGACATCACATGACTGTTACACGGATTCACTTGCCAACTAAGTGATTTGCCGGTTCCTGAGGCAATGGCACCATCTATCGGTCCGATACCACCTCTGCAGAATTTCTGCAAGTTCATCCCCTTCTCCTTAACCAGATCATTCAATTTTAACTGCTGCAGTTTCAGGAGTGCAAAAATCCAGAGGCAAAAGAAAAACCTTTAACATTTCCAAGAATACACTAAGTAGGTGTTTTATCTAGAGATGCCAACCATGCACATAAACAGATTCATTAAAATTAAGGTTATATTTTGCCCATCACAGTCAGTATAAAAGCTGCACCAGACATGTGCTGAATCCGATTTACTAATCTGACACATTTCATTTTCAGATCAATTTTCTTTCCCAATATATTTATTTGGACTCTACATTACACTTTCATAGCTCTACCAAAACCAAGCTTTCATTTAAAATCATCCAAGTCTTCAAAATGAAACACAAGCCTGAAATGATACAGTGTCTTCTTGAGCAATCAGAGAGCAAAAGTATTTGCAACCCTGGTTACATCTGGAATTTTACTTTTTCCAGATATATGATAATCTCAGTAGGGCGTTAACCTTAAAAGCCACAAGCCACAAATGAAACTGTGCAGGTTTATTAGCAGCTCAGAAGGCATTAGCTTAATCTCTTACCATTTTTTACCCTTTACTCCCAGATTACTGGCTATAGATCACACAAGAATTCAGAACTAATCAAACAAGCTCTAGACTACTATTGAGAAAGAGTAGTTTTGCTAAAGATTGGACAAGCTCTGTGATATTTCAAGATGTGTGTGTTGTTCCCTTCAACAATGTATGTGTTATTTCCCTTCTCAAAAAGAACTTTGAGGACGATGGTGATCACTAAGGCTCTCCTTACAAATATGGGTACAACTTTATCTTTGAAGTCTGGGATCCCAGCAAACAATGGAATTTAAGTACTAATACTTTAAATAATAATTTGAAACATTCACCCTTTTCACCAGTTTGTTCCAATACTGAGGGAGTGTCACTTACCCATGGTAACGTAGGGCAGTTTGTCAGTCGATCCATGGGGATAAATGCAGTAAAGGTGAGGTCCTGTGACATCCACTCCCCCCAAAACCAGGGCGGCACCAATGTAGCCTTGATACCTAGGAGCAAGGGTTACACCTGAATCTGACAGTCCACAACAAAGCTGTGGTTCTTAACACAATGAGACATTTGCAGATTTGTCCATGTTTACACCAGGTACATCTCTGTAACAGGAAGACTAATCTTATTATCTGTGAGCAACAGCTTAAAGCAATAAATTTACTAAAATACAGTATATTTCAGTGTCATGCAGAACAAAAAAGCACTGGACAAGCAAGCAGGCTGGATGATACAGTTGCACCAACCATTCTATATTAACAGCTGTGGGCTTCAAATGGTTAAACATTTTATTCTTTTGAAAATAAAATGTATTTTGAGGTAGTGATTCTATTACAAGTCACACGAAATTCTCTATTTTACAAGTTTGCACATTACAAGATCATTACTGGTCCAGCCATCTCACCACAGAGATACACAACAGTTTTCATGTGTACAATCAACAGTTTATTAAACGTTTATTGCCACAGAAACACTGGCAACACGGTACAACTACAGTATTGATTCTGTAAAACCCCCTAGACCTCTTTTCCACCTCAACCCAAAAGCCTATGAAGCAAAGAGCAATTATTAAATCTCTCCTTAAGCCTTGTTATGAAGGTTAAGCAGGTTGAGGAATGACACCCCACCACAGGAGCTTGAAACTTCTCTGGGGGTTTTAACAGTATTGTTAATAAATAAGAAACCCATTCAGTTACCTGAAAAGCATTTGCTTTAGCATTCGATTAGCTGTGACGACTCTTGGAAGTCGTCCAGTAGACAGTGAATGGAGCTCCAGATTGGAAGAAATCAGCTGAGTTGTCATTTCAGTATCTGCAGCTGTTCCCGCGCCACAACAACTGAAAGATATTACAAGCAAATGAGGAAGAGGTGGGGAAAACAGAGAAGAGGCATAACTCTATGCAACAAGTAGAAATTTTCTCGTTGTAAAAGTGCAGAACTTAGGTTCTCATACAGTCAATGTTTTCAGATACCCAAAATCCTCAAGCCTTGCTAATAAATTATTGTTTTAAAATAGACCTTAATATTCGCTGTTAGTAAACAACATGGCTAAAACCCCAATACTATAACCGATAGCATCGCACCACAAACATTTAAAATACTTACTAGATATTAGGGGAAATGAAGTGTATTTTTGAACAGTTCTTGTCAGCAACAACCATTCCCTCTGTTGCTCTCGAATCTGCTCCGAGGACAACACCATCCTGCAGAAAGACAGAGTTATTCCCAGAGCCTCGATGTCCAAAAGGGCCCTTCCTGGCACGGACGGGGACACCGACCGCACGGCCCGGGGCAGCTCAGGGAGGGGGCCCACAGGAGCCCGGCTCCGCACAGGCCGGGGCCGCCGTGACTCAGCACCGCGGAACCTCCGCCACGCTGGGCGCTGGGCCGCCGCTTCCCGAGGAGGTGCCCGCGGGGCCGAGCGGCCTTTCCCGGCCCCCGCTGAGGGGCGAGGGGCGGCCGTGGCCCGGGCCTGCCCGGCGGCGGAGGGGCGGCCCGCTCGGCCCGGCCCGGCCTCCTGCCCACCACCCAGCACCGAGGGGACGCGCCCGGCGCCCACCTCACCTTGTAGACGATGCCGGCGATGGTAGTGCCGGTCTTGCGGGGGGCGGGCAGCCGCAGGCCCTTCTGGACGAGCTCGGCCTCCAGGAGAGAGTTCCTGCAACGGAGGGGGAGAAGTGAGGCCAGGCGTGGGCCAACCCCCAAGGCCGAGGATCTTCCCCCGGCCGGGGCCCCCGCCGCCCGCTGCCGCCCGGGCCCGACCCCGGCGTCCCACCCGCGCCTCACCGAGCACAGTTGTCGAAGCTGAAGCCGCCGCTCGGCGCCTGCAGCACGGAGACCGCCGCCATCTTACCGCTCCGGAGGGGACGGGCCACGCCTGGCGAGTGCTTCCGGGTCAGCCGCCGGCGCGCGCCCCGGGGCGGGGCCTGGGCCGCACCCGCCTCCGCCTGCCCGCGGGGCCTGAAATGGCGGCGGCGCCGGGCCCGGGGCAGCGCCGGGGGAGGGCGGGAGGGCTCTGGGGTTACCGGCCCGGGGGCTCGGATATCCCAGCGGAGGGTGCGTCTGGTTTCGGCTCTGCCCCGCGTCGTGTCTGCATCAGCCCGCTGTGCCTGGGCCTATTGGCGGGCGGGTACCGACAGCTTTGGACAAAGTCCCTGGTTTCTAGGGCAGGGTCTGCGGGGGGCGGCAGGCACCGTGTGTGGGGTGGGGGTGTCACTGGGGTGTGGGACACACGGAGCTCGGCACAGAAACCCCAGCCGGTGGCACATTCACCACGGGAGGGGCGGGCGGTCCCGGTGCGGGGCTGGAGGTGGCGGAGCCCGGAGCGGGCAGCGCGGCCCGAGGGAGCGGGTCTGCCCGGACGGACCTGCCTCCGCGTGTTTATAGCGGGGTGTTGGTGCGTGTCTGTCCTGTGGCACTAAAGGAGCTGCCTTACCCCGGTCTGCCTTCTCATCCCGCTGCGGGATGGCTCGGGGGCCGTTATTCCCCGGGGACGGGACTGGCGGGGGGGGGCGGGGGGGCC